AATCAGGGAAATACAAATTAAAAATCACAATGAGGCATTACTACATACCCACTAGAATGGCTAACATTATTCAACAAAAAGATTGACAATATCGTGTGTTGTCAAGGATGCAGAACAACTAGAACTCTCACACACTTCTTGTGGGGGTATAAAATGATAAACCACTTTGAAAAGCAGTTGGGCAGTTTATTATCATGGGAAACATGCACTTGTAATATGCCTAGCAATTCTGTTCCTAGATGTTTGTCAAAAAATGTGAAAATACATATTTGCTCAAAGACTTCTATAGGAACTTTCATCTTAGTTTTATTCATAATTAGCAAAACGTGGCGCAGCGGTTTAGCGCCGCCTGCAGCCCAGGGTGTGATCCTGGAGACCCTGGATCGAGTCTCACGTGGGGCTCTCTGCAAGGAGCCTGCTTCTCCCTCTGCCTGTGACTCTGCCTCTCTCTCTGTGTCTCTATGAGTAAATAAATAAAATCTTGAAAAAAAAAAACTAGAAACAAACCAAATGTTAACAGTTGATTGGATAAAAAAATTGTAGACTAGCCATAAATATTATTTGGCAATAAAAAAGAATGAACTACTAATATATATATAAAACAACACAGATGAATCTCAAAAATGTTAAACAGAAGAAGCCAGAAATCAAAGAGTACCTACTGTATGATTCCATTTCTACGAAATTGTAGAAAAGGCAAAAACTAAAGTGGCAGAAAGCAAATCAATGTTGGTTATGTCAGAATGACTCAGGCAACTTGAATAGGATCCCACTTCGTAAAGTTAGGACAATATGATTATCAATAAGCTTATAATTACAATGGAATAAAACACTCAAATTTGTTTCCATTTCAATCCATGAGCCTGTAACGATACTAAAACATACACACATGTTGTTTACAAAAATAAGGCTGTGACAAATTAACAATTGTCAGTGGTAGAAACAAAAATGTTGTCATAATACTGTATATATTTTTTTTACTATATTTCTAATAACATTTGGCCTGACCTCAGAGATCTTAAAATTAAGAAATATTTATTGAGGGGCACCTAGGTGGCTCAGTCGGGTAAGTGTCCAACTCTTAGTTTCAGCTCAGGTCATAATCTCAGGGTCCTGGGGTGAGCCCCACATAAATATTTTTTTAAGGAAATATTGAATATATGGTTATTGAGACAAATGAAAATGTGTTTGTGAGGATGTAAACAAACTTGTTTTCTTCTCTCAAAACCTTTTTTAGATTTTATTTATTTCTTGGACAGAGAGAGGAAAGGAGAGAGAGTATGAGCAAGGGGAGTGGCAGAGGGAGAGGGAGAAGCAGGCTCCCAGCCGAGCAGGGAGCCCAACATGGGGCTCGATCCCAGGACCCCAGAATTATGACCTGAGCTGAAGGCAGACACTTAACCACTGAGCCACCCAGGCACCCATCAAAACATTTTTTAATGTTGTTTTAACAATACACAACACTTTGAAACTCTTTATTTTTTTTTAAAGATTTATTTATTCATGATAGAGAGACACAGAGAGGCAGAGACACAGGAGGAGGTTAGAAGCAGGCTCCATGCTGAGATCCCGACATGGGACTCGATCCCAGGACTCCAGGATCGCAACCTGGGCCAAAGGCAGGCGTTAAACCGCTGAGCCACCCAGGGATCCCCTGAAACTCTTTATAAACCATCTAATCTTGGGTTCTACCCACAGAAATTCCCTGAATTCACACCACGTGAATTGTCAGTCCACATAGATTTCCCTCCCTCTTTTCACGTTAGAAATGCCAGGTCCAAAAAAAAAAAAAAGAAAAAGAAAAAAAGAAATGCCAGGTCCTCTGAAACCTCTGTTTCATTACTATTAGTAATGAAATGCCAACAGTCTTCTAAATTCCAGGCCACTTGGGTAGTATTTTGACACTTCTCGTTCTCAAAAGTCCTAGATCTACATTAGATCACTTTTACTTTTGCCCATTTGAGGACTTCAATCAGGCCACAGACATTTTGTCAGGATTTATATATATCCTCCCTTTAGGGTGGCATTTAATCAATAGGGAAACCAGACTAAAGAATCTGGATGGATTCATATAACCCATCATTATTAGTGGAAAAACAACTTGAAGCACAAGCTCTCCTGATAGTTTTCTTTTTATTCTATTAAAAAAATTTTTTTTCTCCTGATAGTTTTCAATTTGTCTCATAATCAGAAAAGTTGTTTTTCCCTACTACCAACTGGGACTGAACGGAAAACACAGATTCTGAATGGGACCCAGGGGGGAAAGGGGACGTTGTATGTGGGAAGCGAGGAGGAGTGAGATAGGATGTAGCTGCTACCAGAATTATGTTTCTGAATATAACTGGAAGGGGGAAATTTAGAGCTAGAAAGGACCTTAGCAATCATCTAGTCCATTCTTTTTGTCTTACAGACTAAGAAACAAAGGCTTGAAGAAGTAAAATAGCAGTAGCTGGCAGACAAGAACCCAGGGCACCCTGAAGCCTCCTTCAGGGCCCTTTGCACTGTACCACCTGCCTATTTCTGAAAATGATCTATTTTGGGGCCCCTGGGTGGCTCAGTCAGTTCAGGGACTGCTTTCATCTCAGGTCATGATCCCAGAGTCTTGGGATCCTAGAATCTTGACTGGAGTCAGGCTCCCCGATTTCTAGGAGTCTGCTTCTCCCTCTACTTCTGCCCCTGCCCCTCCCTCTTCTCTTACTCCCCTCCCCCTTCGCTCCTCCCCCTGCTCGAACGCGTCCTTGGCTCGCTTTCTGAAATAAATAAAATCTAAATCTAAAAGAAAAAAGAAGAAGAAGGAGGAGGAGGAGGAGGAGGAGGAGGAGGAGGAGGAGAAGAAAGAAAAGAAAGAAAGAAAGAAAGAAAGAAAGAAAGAAAGAAAGAAAGAAAGAAAGAAAGAAAGAAAGAAAGAAAAGAAAATGGGTGCACCTGGGTGGCTCAGTCCATTGAGTGTCTGCCTTTGGCTGGGGTCATGACCTCAGGGTCCCGGGATCAAGCTCCACCTGGGCTCCCTGCTGAGTAGGAGTCTGCTTCTCCCTCTCCCCCTGCCCCTCCCCTCCACTGATGTTCTCTCTCTCAAATAAATACATAAAATCGGAAGGAAGGAAGGAAGGAAGGAAGGAAGGAAGGAAGGAAGGAAGGAAGGAAGGAAGGAAGGAAGGAAGGAAGGAAGGAAGGAAGGAAGGAAGGAAGGAAGAAGAAAGGAAAGAAAGAAAGAAAAGAAAGAAAGAAAGAAAGATCTCTTTAGAAAGCTAAAACTGACAAATTCAGGAAACAAGCTCTTCATAGATTTCAGGGTTCAGTAACACTGAGGTTTTGTCCCACCACTAAAAACTGCCTGAGCTGAAAGGTATTTAAATATTTGCACAAACTAGTTTAACTGGGTCTATTATTTCCTAGGGGTACACCTCCCTTGTTTGTGCTTTTTAATTAAAAGTTGAAAACAGGGGATCCCTGGGTGGCGCAGCGGTTTAGCGCCTGCCTTTGGCCCAGGGCGCGATCCTGGAGACCCGGGATCGAATCCCACGTCGGGCTCCCGGTGCATGGAGCCTGCCTCTCCCTCTGCCTATGTCTCTGCCTCTCTCTCTCTCTCTCTCTCTCTCTCTCTATCATAAATAAATAAAAAAAAATTAAAAAAAAAAGTTGAAAACAAAAAAGTAGAAAGACAGGCCATGGGTTCCACATAGGCACAAATTCAACCCTTGATCGTTCATTCCTCATTCAGCAATACCTAACGCCTACCGTGAATGAGGCACCGCGCCAGGTGCTGGGAATCCACAGAACACAGTCCCTGCTCCCTCAGAGCTTACACTATGGCAGTGACAGTATTAAAGTACTAATTACATTAAAGTGTGTTGAGTGTTACAATCGGGGAAACGCCAGATTCTATGGATTTATCCCTGGAGAATAATTTCAAGCTGTTCCTCTTCTGTTATCAACATATTTCCCGGCTGCCTCTTGAGTTCCCCAAACATGAATTCTTTTCAATAAAACACGTAACACGCATTCACTGAGCGCGTGGACGGGTGTTCCCATACAGTGTGCGAACATCTGCAAGAAAATTCCACGGTAAATTAGCGATGTAAAAACCATCCTATTCCAGGGACACAATTACTTTTGGATTACACATGCCTGGTAAATGTAGTATCCCTTGACAGCACAGGTGAGCTGGAAAAACTATTTCATCATCTTGATTTTTTTCATAGTACTCTGAGCAGGTTTTTGTCAGCGAAATTAGCGGCCGTGCCCCTGCCCCCCATCATTTCAGAGCGCTGGAAGGCGCTGCGGGCGACCTGCCGAAGGTTCCATCCTTAAAGGGCCAGCTCACGGCTGTGCGCTGCCAATCCTTTCGCGGCCGCAAGCCCGCCTACATCTTTCTCCCTTCCTCTCTTCTCTCATAGATCCCGCGCTCAAAATAGCATTTAGCATCTGCTCTTTTCAGCGTTGACTTTGTATATGGGTGCACCTTCCCCTAACCTGGACGGAGTGTTAAGGAAAACACGGACCCGCCAGCCCCCTACGGTATCACCTTAAGAGGCGGTCCCCCCCACCTCCGTGCCCCCCCCCATTCATCCCAGAAATTCTCCTTAGGTAGCAGACAGTCTCATTAACCTTGAGGCCCCGTTTCCCTCCCAGCCGCAGCAGTCTGGTTTATTCCACGGGGTGGAGAAAGAAGCCAGGTTGGCGGGGTGGGAGGAATGGCGTCAGTGTGAGGTCACGCCACATTGTCCCGAATGGCATCTCCCCTCCGCGGCGACAGTAACGCGGGGTCGAGGGATGCGGCTGGAGGAAAGACCGTGTGCCCCTTGCGCAGACCACGCGCCAAGAGAGGGCAGGACGCAGGACGATGCGGGGACCGTCGCGGGGCGTGGCGGGGCACCTGAGCGCCAGCAGCCGGCGCCCCGCAGGCGGGGGAAAGCGGGCAGCCGCCAGCCACGCGGAGGCCGCGCAGGATGGGGCGGGACTTCCGGAAGCCATTGGCTTGAGTGGCAGGGGAACCGGAAGTGGGGGCGCTGCTGCTGCCGCTGCTGCTGGTGCTGGGGCCCGAGGAGGGACGCGCCGGAGCGGGGCCGCCGGGACTGAGCGAGCGACAGACGCGCCACCCGCCGACGCCGCAGCCGCTTGGGGCCCGCACGGACCCTCTGCCTGAGTGAGTGCCGCCGGGGTCGCGGGGAACCGGCGGCGTAGCGGCGGGGGTCGGGAAGGCCTGCGATTTGTTATTGTGAGAGGCCCGCGACCTCCCCTCCCCTCCCCCACCGCCGGCCCCTCCCCCCGCCCGGACCCTCGGGGGCCTCGCGCGCGCCTTCCCCGCGGCCCCCGCACCCCCGCACCCCCGGACCGCCCGCCGCCGCCTTAGAGCCTCCCGGCGGCACCCCCCCCCCCCACCTGCCGCCTGGGCTCGGCCGCCGCCTCTCCCGGGGGAGGGGCGGGGGGGCACCGGGGCTGCGGGCGGCGGCCCCTCCCCTCCCGCCCCCTGCAGCGGGCCTCCCGCTCCCCGGCTCGCCGCGGTGGGCGCCGCCCGCCGCCGTCGTAGCAACTCTTGTGCCTCCGTCTCAGCTGTTGCCTCTTCCCTCCATCCCCGCGCCGGAACCGCCGACCCTCCCTGCGCTGTCGGCGAGGCCTTGAACGGGGCCCAGACCCGTTAGTCGGTGGCCCGTTGGCCGAGCACTTCTTCCTCGCCCCCCCCCCCCCACCGCCCCGCTTTTTGTCGAAAAATTTGAACTCTAGAAACTTATCCGTTTCCCCCTGAATTGTACTCAAAAACCCGCAGACTGTCACGGCTCCGGAGGGATTCTTGCTTACACGGCCATGCAGCCCCGGCACCTCATTTTAGAAATGAGGCCCAGCGAGGTTGGTTATTCGCGCAAGGTCAGCCAGCTGCTTGGAAAGGGCCCGTGGGCAGGTTTTCTCAGGTTTCCTCGGGGGGTCGTCGCCTGGTCCACCCGTGCCCGTGGACCAGGTGGAGACCTCCTCGGCCTGCAGGTTTGTGCTGGACCCGTTGCGTGGTCACTGCTGCTCTGCTTCCCACCAGCTCGCAAGCCAGCGTTGCTTTTCATGATTTACGTTCAGACCTTGAGAAAAGCAAACCCTTGAAGCTTTGGCCTCTTTTTCAGAGCGTATCCGCAGAGAAAGGGGAGACCATCTGCACCCACTCTAGGATCTCATTTTATGCAGTTTTAAAATCGAGGGCCGAGGATAAAGGTGTCGAGAAAGAGGAAGGGAAAAATACAGAGGATGGTCTCTCCTGGGTATTTGAATTCGGCTTTGCCTCAGATAAGCCTTGTGTCTTTAGATTCTCTTGGGCACATTGTTCTGATATAAAGATTGCCTCCTTGTGGGGGAGCAGGGGAGGAGTAGGAAATCATTGTGCTTTAATTTGTTGGCTTGGGCGGGCGTTTGATAATAAATTATGGATGTGCTGGATCCCCGGGACCCACCCGCCAGCCCACTGAGGCAGGGTGTTCTGGATGAGGCTTTCCTTCCCTTTCAGTATGACCCCGCCCACTCCCTCTGAAACAAAATGAAGAGTCTTAGGTCAGAGTGGACACCCTCTCAATCTTTTAATTCTTGGCGCAACTTTTCTCCTCCCTCTGTTTCCTGCTTAAACTAAAGATCCTGCTGAGCCTGAGAATTTATATTTCTTTGTTGTTGGAACTGGCTTCTGATTAAACACGCTACACCAGCTACACCACATACTGGTGTAAGTATCTAGAGATTCTGGTGTTCACTGCCACGGTTCAAGTTAAGGTAGAAGATGGAAAATGCAGGAAAATTGGGAAATGCTGTGCAAGTTGCTTACTCCTCATTCTTCCAAAGAATTTACATTTTTTTAACGGACAATCAGATTCCTTGGAATAGAGTCTCTCCTGGTAAATTAACAAAAGTTCTGTTCTTCAGACCTTTATTCTGCTTGGTTTCTCTAACTGAACCTGCTGTTTGTGATCAGAAGTTAGTGACTTATAATAATCCACCGCCTCAAAGGGAAAATTATGAATCAAGAAGGTGAGATGGGAGTCAGAATCCACCTCCCTGCTCGTACTTTTTAAATTGTATTACTGTTTTTACAGCTTCACTATTCCAAATACTCCTCCTGAGGCAGGAAACCCAAAATCATTCAGGTTTTGTGTCCTATCACAGACTGTACTTTGGATAGCTCCTAATTCATTCCTCATTTCTCTTGTAAAGAATACAACAGTTGGGGCACCTGCGGGGCTTAGTGGTTGAGTGTCTGCCTTTGGCTCAGGTCATGATCCTGGGGTCCTGGGATTGAGTCCTGCATCAGGTTTCCAACAGGGAGCCTGCTTCTCTCTGTGTCTTTCATGAATAAATAAGTCTTAAAAAAAAATACAACAGCTTATTTTATTTGAATTTCAAATTGTTTGGATCTTCTAAATGCATAGTCCCCTAGAGTGTACATTTCTACTCTCATTCTTAGGAGATTGCATGGGTTTGTGGCTCAGTTTTTCTTTACCTGCTCTTTCAGGATGTTATCAAGCCATAGGCATCAGTAAAACTGAAAGCTACTTTGTATTGGGAGAATTTGATTTGGCAAAACAATACAAAATCCAAGTGTCTGAAGGCACAAAGAAACAAATTTTTGCTTACTCTGCCCTTTCAGAAGAGGAAGGATGATCTTGTATTCATAGTTAAAGGGGGAAAAAAGAGCTAATTGGGAATATTTTACTATCTTTACTCAATTCTACCTGCCTGATAGCCTCCTCAGATAAGCAACATCTTTCCCCTCGATTTCTCAACCCCTATTTCATTTTGCCCAAGAGGAAAGTACCAAGATGACAGTATTTTGCTCAGAGCATCAGGATGCCATTAAATTTGTTAGTAGTGGGGATCCCCGGGTGGCTCAGCGGTTTGGCGCCTGCCTTCAGCTCAAGGTGTGGTCCTGGGATCCCAGGATCGAGTCCCGCATCGGGCTCCCTGCATGGAGCCTGCTTCTGTCTCTCTGCCTGAGTCTCTGCCTCTTTCTGTGTGTCTCATGAATAAATAAAATCTTAAAAAATAATAATAAAAATAATAAATTTGTTAGTAGTAATAGGGTTCATAAGTGAATCGAATTAGTAAATGAGAATTTGTCATGTCTTTTCTATACAGAGCCTAACGTTCTTTACTCAAGAATAGTAGGCTTTGGAGGTATATCACCCTGAGTTCCAATTCCAGCTCTTCCTATCATGAAGCAGGTTTCTTAAATCTCAGAGCTCCTACAACAGTGTCTTATAAATAGTGGAGTTCTTAATAAATCTTAATTGCGATTATTATTTTACAACAGTTGTTTACTTGTTGGAGGAACTCTGGAAATCCATGTTAGTAAATTGAATCCTAGATTTAGAAAGATTTTATAGCTTAAATAGACCATTGGTCTTGAAAGTAGAGTATGTGCACTCCCTAGGGATTGCAGAACGCGATCCATTGGAATACAGGAAACAATTTAGAACTTCTTTATACATTTACTTTTTTATGTAAAAGGAAAAGATAAACTTTACTAATATTTAATATACAGATTAACAATAATTCATACATTTAATTTATAAATAAACATACACACATATATACACATTTGAAAAGATTCCAAAACATTTAAGATGTTTACTAATATTTAATATACAGATTAACAATAATTCATACATTTAATTTATAAATAAACATACACACATATATACACATTTGAAAAGATTCCAAAACATTTAAGATGTTTTGGCCCCACAAATCTGGATCAGTCTTTACTCCTATGTTTTAGTTCACTTTATCCTTTCTTGTTAGGGGTTCAGCTTGCCACTCTTTGAATCTCCATTGGAGGAATATACTTTGAGAGACAGGCCATGTTATTCTGTAGTCATAATTGTTAGAAATTTGTCTTAACTGTACATTCTGTCCACTGGCCCTGCCTTCCTATTTGGGGACATGCAAAATAAGAGTAATACCTCCTCCTAGTCATCTTCAAATAGTTTGACAGTTATTTATGGCCTGTGTCTTTCTCTTTCTTAACCGATTTTTCTACAGATTATAAACATGCTTATGTCATTCAACTGTTTCTAATATGACAGGTTTTCAGTTTCTTACCATCTTGGCTCCTGTCTTCTAGACACTGTCCAGTTTGTCAGAATTCTTTAAGCTTTTCAAGACCTGAACATGATATCCCAAGAACTGAAATGAAGTGCCTGCATTTTGTCATTTAACTGGTGAGGGTTCTATTTGAATACATGTTATTATGAAGGCACTTTATAATTTGCAGTTTGTCACTCTTATTCTTTAAACAATCCCCAGGAACAATAGTTTCAATTATATAATCTAGTGAGAGTAGGACAGATTATTTTTCTCTGTTTCAGTGGTGGTCTCTCAGTTAATTTTGTGTCAGTTAACTTTTACTGCAAAAATACCTAACATGTTAAGTGTCTCTCCAGGTGGGAAAACAAATGAGAACAAATGAAATAGTTGAGTTTTAAAAAAATCTATTTAAAGGGTGCTTGGATGGCTCGATTGGTTGAGTGTCCAGCTCTTTGTTTCCGCTCAGGTCATGATCTCAGGTCAGGTGGTGAGATGAAGCCCTGTGTTGGGCTCCAACTGAGTGTGGAGCCTGCTTAAGATTCTCTCGAGGTACCTGGGCGGCTCAGTTGGTTGACTGACTCTTGATTTTGGTGCAGGTCATGATCTCCAGGTCCTGGGATCAAGGCCTGAATCAAGCTCCTTGCCCAACAGGGAGTCTGCTTGAGATTCTTTCCCCCCCCTCCCCTTTCTCCAACTCCCCCTCTTTCTCAAATAGATAAGCCTTATTTATTTATTTATTTATTTATTTATTTATTTATTTAGATAAGTCCTTTTTTAAAAAAAAGATTCTCTCCTTTCCCTCTGCATCTCCCCCACCACCACCAACAAAAGGGGTGAGGGGAGGAAAAAAATCTATTTAAAAAACTTTGGAAATAGTATTTTGAATTAGTGGAAAGTGAAGCTGTTTGTTGCGGTACATTACATATATAAATATTGAAATCCGTAGGTGGGAAAACTTAACCAAGTTGCCCTTGTCTGTCTTAAGGCCAGTAGAGCTGTTTGATCAGCAGGAAAGAAGGCTACTATTAAAATTAAAATTACTGTTAAGCACCATGTCAGATTTAACCTGAATAGCCAGACTTCAATCTAGAATTGAACTTAGACGCAAAGAAACTTTTGTATAGAAAGTATAGAATGTCTTATTAGTTTAAAAATAAAAGCAGGGCCCCTGGGTGGCCCAGTCAGTTAAGCGTCCATCTCTGGTTTTTGGCTCAGATCATGATTTTAGGGGCATGAGATCAAGCCCCAAGTGGGCTCTGAGCTCAGCTTGGATTCTACTAAACTTTCTCTCCCTCTTCCCTGCACATATGTGCATTCTCTCTTTCAAATAAATAAATCTTTAAAAAAAAAACACTCAAATGTTTCTATATCACTATTTGTTTTTAATCTCCTTTAATCATTTTTTCCTTTATGCATCTTTTAATTTTCTCGTACTTTTCTTAGACAATGAAACTCAACCAGATACCATAACCTGAATGGAGCTATACAAACTCATCTTGCAGTTCCTCCCAATTCTTGTATTTTACATTGATGTTTTTAGCTCCATGTAGTTTATATTTTTGGGTAAAATGGTTAGATACAAGACCTTTTCAGGGAGTCTGCATGAACTAGTTTGTGATTAATGGGCCAGGTGTGATGTCACTGGGGTCAAGGAAACCTAATTTTATTCACTTACTGCACAAATTACCTAAATTATCTAATCCTCATTTTTTTCATTTTGCAAGGATTGCAAGTGGTATGTATAAAATATGGCATAAAAAAACAAACAAAAAAAAATGGCATATATAGTCCTTCACAGATAGCTATTATTTTCTGATATTTGCAAATTTTAGTAATCTAAGGAAGTATATACAGATGGTCTCTGACTTAATAATGTTCTACTTAAAATATTTTAACTTGGGATGCCTGGATGGGTCAGTGGTTGAGCATCAGGCCTTAAGCTCAGGTCGTGATCCTGGAGTCCCAGGATTGAGTCCCACATCAGGCTCCCTCTGCAAGGAGTCTGCTTCTCCTCCCTCTGCCTATGTCTCTGCCTCTCTTTCTGTATGTCTCTTGTGAATGAATAAATAAATAAATTATTTTAAAAACTATATTTAGGGCAGCCCGGGTGGCTCAGTGGTTTAGCGCCACCTTCAGCCCAGGGTGTGATCCTGGAGTCCTGGGGTTGAGTCCCACATCAGGCTCCCTGCATAGAGCCTGCTTCTCCCTCTGCCTGTGTCTCGGCCTCTCTCTCTCTCTCTCATGAATAAATAAATAAAATATTTAAATAAAATAAAATAAAAAATAAAAAAAATATTTTAACTTCAGTATGGTATAAATGTGGTATGTGTTCAGTAGAAATTGTACTTGCAGTTTTGAAGTTTGATCTTTTCCCAGCCTAGCAATATGTGGTAAGATGTGATGCTGGGCGGTGGCAGTGAGCCAGAGCTCCCGGTAAGCCATGGTCAACATCCGATACACAGACAACCATTCTGTTTATCATGTTCAGTATAGTATTCAATAAGTTACATGAGATATTCAGCACTCTGTTGTAAAACGGGTTTTGTGTTAGATGATATTGCCCAACTGTAGGCTAATGTAAGTGTTTTGAGCACATTTCAGGTACGCTGTTATGCTATTGGTAGGGTAGGTGTATTAAATGCATTTTTGACTTAGGATATTTTCTTTTCTCTCTCTCTCTCTCTTTTTTTTTTTTTTTTTTTGGATTTATTTTCGAGAGCATGTGAGTGGGGTGAAGGACAGAGGGGAGGGGAAGAGAATGTCAAGCAGACACTCCCCCTCCCAAGTGTGGAGCCCACAGGGGGCTCAATCTCACAATCCTGAGATCATGATCTGAGCCAAATCTAGAGTCTGACACTTAACTGACTGAGCCACCCAGGTGCCCTGAGGAAGGATATTTTCTTTTTCTTTTTTTTTTTTTAATTTTTATTAATTTATGATAGTCACACACAGAGAGAGAGAGAGAGAGAGGGGCAGAGACATAAGCAGAGGGAGAAGCAGGCTCCATGCACCGGGAGCCCGACGTGGGATTCGATCCCAGGTCTCCAGGATCGCGCCCTGGGCCAAAGGCAGGCGCCAAACTGCTGCGCCACCCAGGGATCCTGGATATTTTCAATTTACAATGGGTTTATCCAGATGCAATCCCATTGTAAGTTGCGGATGATCTATACACAGGATATGGATAGTGTTTTACTTTTCCAGTTAGATATGGGCTTAATTCTGAGTCTAATTTTTTTAGACCTAGTTTCATTTAGAGTGGAACTAATTGGTTTGTGTAGTATTAAAACATTGGTTTGTTTTTGTAATGTATTTTTTATGAATGAAGGTATGTTTTCATGCTTAGAGCTTTTTTACTTTCTGATTCTCAAAAATTACTGCTTTGGCAATCCTACGTGTTTTGTTTACTCAGTAAATACTTATCGAATGAATAGGACTCAATCCTTTTTCAGTGAAAGCTGTATCTGATGATGGCAAGGGAAAGAAAAAGAGAAATGGCCCCCTTTTCTTTAAGCCACAAAACTCCAGATTTTTCTTTCTTTTCTATTCCTTTTTTTTTTTTTTTTTTTTAAGATTTTATTTATTTGACAGAGCACAAGCAGGGGAAAGAAACAGCATAGGGAGAGGGAGAAGGATGCTGTCTGCTGAGCAGGGCTCTCTTTATCCGAGGTTCCTGGGATCATGACCTGAGCTAGAAGAAGGCAGGCGCCCAACCAGCTGAGCCACCTAGGCACCCAGATTATTCTATTTTTCATCATCCTTTGTGTATGCCAAATGATTTCTTGAGCCTGACATCTCTAGTATGTATCCTCCAGTTGTTTGAAAAGAGTGTGGTGTCCTTGTCTTTCTGGATCAGCATTTCTAGGTTTTCTGAATTTCATTTATTCCTTCTTCTCTACTATCAGATGCCATATTTGGGTTCTTCATTAATAACATTTTCTTAGTGGAGACCCGTCAAAAATAAAATATCTGGTAAATATTTGTCAAAAACAAGTGTCAAAGCCTATGACTAGTTTTGTCACAATCTGTTGTAGTTATTTGTATGATGTTTAGTAACCAGTGGCTACTAATCATGGCTGTAGCAATTCTCAAGTGTCTAACTGGAGTTGCCTAAAAGGCTCTCATGCAGGTTTCATTGAACTCTTAAGTGTCTAATTTGTTGTGTCATTTGGTACTTACATTAACATGTAATCATGAAAAATTAATGTAGATGTAAAGTATATACTTTTTTTCAATGTAATGCACTGTTCCCAAATGATATTCAAGCCTGTCTAGAAGTTTAACAGTGCTAGATGTTAATGGGACTTAAGTAGTCATGTCCTAGAACTCATGTCTGCTGAAAATAAATTCCTATTATTTCATTTCTAAGCAAAACCACAATGAAACTTAATTTTTATTATTTAAAACCTGGCATGTAATATTAAAATGGTAGCAAACATTCCTTTTAATGAATGAAACATGACATGGACATTTTTCCCTTCAGGTATAGAATGAGCCAAGGAGACTCAAACCCAGCAGCTATACCACATGCAGCAGAAGATATTCAAGGAGATGACAGATGGATGTCTCAGGTAAAAGGAAGTGCGTATGTATTATTCACTAGAGATGAGTCTCTTCAGTTTTGCAGAGTCTTTGACGAAAGCCACAAAAGAACGTTTTTTAGTGATCAACAAGAATCATTAAGTAAAAAATCTCCTGTTATGCTAATGTCCTGCCTAATCACCAGTTTGATATTGGACCAGAGGAATATTTTGAAAGCATAGTGGTTGCCTCCCGTTCTACTTAAAAGATAACAGTGTCTCCACAGCATTCTTTGTTTTTTTTTAAGTAGTTTCAAAATTACACAAATACTGCAAAAGTTTAGAAAGAAACCCCCTCTCATATCCTTCATCCAGACCTGCTAGTTAACATTTTGCCACATCTGCCTAGATGTTCTGTCTGTATCTATTTGTATTTGTATCTACATACCAACATTCAGTGTTTCCTGAACCATTTGAGAGGAAGTTGCAGTCATCATGCTCCTTCACCCCTAAATATGTCCGTGGATTTTCTAAGAATAAGGACGTTTTCTTACACAACTACAGAATAGTTATTAAAATCGGGATATTTAACATTAATATTATGCCATGTTCACATTTCTTCTTTTGTCCCAATGTTTTTATGTCAGTTTTCCTCCCAGTCTAGGATCACACATGGCATTCAGTGGTCCCATCTCTCTGTTCTCCTTTACTCTGAAATATTTCTTAGCCTTTGTTTTTCATGACATTGACAGTTTGGAATATAGGCCATTTATTCTGTGGAATGTTCCTCAACTTGAGTTTATCTTTTTCCTCATAATCAAGATTAAGATTCTGCATTTTTAGCAGGGATATCAGTGATATTCTCTGTGCATCACTTAGAAGGTACATGACATTGATTTGTCTTATTGGTGATGTTAACTTTGGTCACTTGGTTAAGATGTGTTGGCCTAAACCAATTATTTTCTTATTTATTATGGTATGGACTCATGGATTCTTATTCTATTCAGTGGGTTATAATCCATTGTAATTTGAAGCTCAAATTGTCCCAGGCCAGCTCCTGTGTTGTGTCTTAATGTTTTACGTTGTTTTGTAGCACTGTATCTTCTTTGTATTCTAAGCTTCCTTTTGATAAACTTATCACTTAACCATAACTATATTTAACCTTCATCTGTTGGTTTCCAACCACATTTCCTCTTTGGAATAACAAGTTCTATATGATTTTAAGTACCCAGAGTTTTGCATTTTAGTATTTAGTGATTCTGTTTATACTCTTGATAGTTGTATTCTTCTGTTTTTGTCTTTCTAGACTTAAAAATTAGTCTTAACTAGCTTATTTTGAGCAGTAGTTAGTATTTTTTCAACCTCTTTTATATGGATCAGCTGCTTGATTATTCTTATTTAATCTTTGTTTGTATCTTAAAAAGTATTATGAAGTCCACTGACCATCTGTGTATTTACCACTCACCCTAAAAAAATAAAACATTGCTAATAGAATTGATATTCTGTGTATACTCCTGATTGATCATTTTTCTTCCTCTTTCCCACCTCTCCACCCCCAAACCAATATCCTAAATCTGGTGGGGTTTTTTTCACGTGCTTACATACTATATATATAAAATTTCTAAGCTATATATATAGTATTTTTGCATGTTTGTAAGTTTTTTGTAAGTAGTATGTTTTTGAATTTTTCTGCAGTCTATCATAACATGTTAAAAGTGTAACTATAGTTTTTCCTCTATTACTGTTTTTTAAGGATTTTATTTATTTAGAAAGAGAGCACTCAAATGGGGTGGGAGGGGCAGAGAGAGGAGAGAAAGAATCCCATGCCAAGTGCAGAACTCAGCACAGAGGTTGATTGTGACCTGAACCGAATTCCAAGAGTCGGGACACTTAACTGACTGAGCCCCCAGGCACCCCTGTCCTCTCTTTAAATAGTATTTCTTTGCTATATATGAAAATACTATTTAGCAACATTTAGCCCATTTATAACTTTATTAGAAGTAGTAACTAAGACTAGATGTCTTTGTGTTCCTGACATAAATTAGCAGGCTTTAAATAATTAGCATTGGCTGGAAAAAAAAAAAAGTCAAGTGGAAGAAAACTAGATAGGAATATTTTTTTGAATGTTTAAACTTGTATAGAAGGATAACTTTACTAAATATTAAAATATATGCCTGGATCTTGGTTTCTTTTCTCCAGTGAAAGGAACCAGGGCTACTTGGAGAAATGATTGCTTCTATAGCTGGAACAAAGGAAATAAAAGATAAACCTAGAGCATCTTATAGTGCAAGAAAGCAACTACTCAGAAAAGAAAAGGAAAAAAAGATGTATGGCAAGAATATTACTGAAGTTAAGTGTCCTCAGTGCATCTCATAGAAGACATGTAATAGTGGTTTGTCTCATTGATACTCACTTTGACCACTGGAGGCCAGCCTGAAAGAACACCCAAGTGCAAAGTTGGACAGTTTCAGTAACATAATAAATCGTGATATTACTGGTTTATAAATCAAAGGATAAAGTATTCATGAATCCATTTTGCTAGAAAGAAATGATTGGATAAATGGGGAAAGAGACAATTTTAATTAATAAATGTAGGGGCACCTGGCTGGCTCAGTCGGTAGAGCATGCAGCTCTTGATCTTGGAGTTGTGAGTTCAAGTCCCACACTGGGTGTAGAGATTACTTAAATCTTTTAAAAATATATAAATGTAGAAGGAAGGAGAGAAAAGAAAACCCTCATTAGAACACAGCAGTGAGGGCAGCCCGGGTAGCTCAGCGGTTTAGCGCCGCCTTCCGCCCAGGGCCTGATCCTGGAGATCCGGGATTTAGTCCCATGTCAGGCTCCCTGCATGGAGCCTGCTTCTCCCTCTGCCTGTGTCTCTGCCTCTCTCTCTGTGTGTGTCTCTCATGAATGAATAAATAAAATCTTAAAAAAAAAAAAAACAGCAGTGATAATTACTGTAGGGAAGATCCATCAGTGAGTACTAAAATTAGTAGGCATAACTTAGTTAAGGAGAGACAGTGTATTTGCCTAGCCTCAAAAATACCTCCTTGGAAATTACTTTGGTGGTTTTAACATAAGACCACATATATTTATATTTTTTTATATCATCTCCCTGGAGAAGGTAGAGCTTATTAATTCCCCCATTAAAAAAAAAAATTCCCCCATCAGTGTGAGCTGGATTTAATGTCTTATTTCTAACAAATACAGTATGGAAAGGAAAAATAATAACCATGTAGTAGAGAAACTTGGCAGACAAGTTTGGCAAACTAAGGCAGGCATCTTAACCAAATGATCAATGTTAACATCACCAAATAATAAGTCATGTTGAGGGATCCCTGGGTGGCGTAGCTGTTTAGCACCTGCCTTTAGCCCAGGGCATGATCCTGGAGATCCGGGATCGAATCCCACGTCGGGCTCCCGGTGCATGGAGCCTGCTTCTCTCTCTGCCTGTGTCTCTGCCTCTCTCTCTCTCTTTGTGTGACTATCATAAATAAATAAAAATTAAAAAAAAATAAGTCATGTTGATATTGTGTACTCCCCTCTGATATGATAAAATAGGGCATATCACCTTGTGGTAGTCTTCCAGAATAATTCATCACCTCAATCTATTCATGAGAAAATATCAGACAGACCCAAAGTGAGGAACATTCTACAAAACACCTGACTACTACTAAATATGTCAGTGACGTGAAATACAAGGAAAAACCAAGAAACTGTCCTGTGTTGAAAGAGACCAAGGAGACGTGTAGACTAAATGCCATGTGAATTGGACCTGGGAACAGAAAAAGGACATAGTGGAAAAATTGGTGAGGTGTGAGTAAACTATTTTTTTTTAAGATTTTTAAAAATTTTACTTCTAAGTAATTTCTATACCCAAGGCAGGGCTCGAACTTAAAACCTTGAGATGGAGGTCACATGCTCTATTGACTGACCCAGCCAGGTGTCCCCTGAGTAAACTATTTTAGTGGATAGTATTCATGAATGTTTATTTTTTAGTTTCAACCAATGTATCATGTTTATGTAAGATGTTAGCATTGGAGGGAGCTGAGTGAAAGGTATGTGAGAATGCTGTGCTATCTTTGCAACTCTTCTGTAGATCTAAAATTATTTCAAAACAAAATGTTAAAAGCAGTCATGATTAAAACAAGTATTGAAGTGATACTCAATGCTTCCTATGAAGTATTGCAAAAATACCGCACCATATATGAGGATATACCTGGAGCAGATGAACATGTCCTCTAGGACTACCATAGGAATACAATCAACAAAATACAGACTATGGGAGATTCTGTAGGTCAAACAATCATATTTCTTAAAAAGTAAATTTGGGAGATAGTGGCAGAGGGAGGGGGAAACCTATAGATTAAAAGATTAAAGAGAGGGCAGCCCCGGTGGCCAGCAGTTTAGCGCCGCCTGCAGCCTGGGGTGTGATCCTGGAGACCTGGGATCGAGTCCCACATTGGGCTTCCTGCATGGAACCTGCTTCTCCCTCCGCCTGTGTCTCTGCCTCTCTCTTCGCTCTCTCTGAATGAATAAATAAATCTTTAAAAAAAAAAAAAAGATTAAAGAGAGAAGTTAGGTCCTGATTTTTAAAAAACAAAATATTTTCTAACATTGAATTCAAACACTGGTTATTTGTTGATATTAAAGAAATTACTGCTAATTTTAGGGTGTAGAATTGGTATTGTGGTTATATTTTTTAAAAATATTTTTAAGAGAGCAGTAGCCGCTGCTCGGGAAACATGGCGGAGCAAGAGCAAAGAAAAAAGATCCCTTTGGTTCCAGAAAATCTCCTGAAAAAGAGGAAGGCTTATCAGGCCCTTAAAGCCACTCAAGCAAAGCAGGCACTTTTGGACAAGAAGGAGAATAAAGGGAAAAAGCTCAAGTTTAAGCGACTGGAGTGGTTCCTACATGATTCCTGGCGGCAGCAGTGTGACAGGGTCCACGCCTGGAAGTGAAACCTCATGGCTTAGAAGTGCCAGATAAACATTCCTTGGCCTTCATTGTACGCATCCAAAGGATTAATGGGGTGAGTTCACTGGTACAGA